GCCGCGGGCGTGGGTGCGGGCGCCGCCTCCAGCTGCTGCGCGGCCGAGATGACCGCCGCGGCGCGCAGCTGCGCGGGCGTCATCCGCCGCCGCCGCGCGGGCACCGCGACGCGCTGGCGCCGGAGCGCGCCCTCGCGCGCCGCCGCGGCCGCGTCGCGGCGCCGCAGCTCTGCCGCGAGCTCGTCCTCGTCATCCGGCAGCACCTCGACCTCCGGGATGCCGCCGTCCGCCATCATGGACGCCACCAGTGCCGAAATGTCGTCATCCTGGGGTGCGCCCGCACGCGGGTCCGAGGCCGGCGCCGAGGCCTGCGGCTGCGGCCGGCGCGCCACTGGCGGCGCGGCGGGGCGCAGCGTGGGGGGTTCAGGGGCGCCGCTGGCGGGCCCCACAGCAGCGACGGGTGTTGGGGGAGGGGCGCTGCTGATTTTCGGCGCGGGCGCGCCGCGGCGGGCGCTGAGGGGGTCGAACGTACGCCGCCGCTTGCTTTCGTCTCGCTGCAGCTGCCGCTCGGCCTCTGCGGCGGTGGGCAGGGGGGGGGGTGTGTGCGGGGCGCGCGGTGGATGCCAGGAGACTGTTGTAGCTAGCAAGCTGCACCCACCGCCGCCGCCACAGCAAACAGTGCGCTATATTCTTAAGCGCATTGCACCGCCCAAGTCCACAGCTGTGCGCACTGCGCTGTTGCTTGAACTCCTCGTAAGCAGCCTCCTCCTCCGGTGTCATGTCAGCGCTGCTCGCCGCACATGGCATGCCGCGCCGCCGCCCCTGAAGCAGTCGCAACGGCGTCCCGGCCTGGCACCGCATGGCTGCGAGGCCAGACCATCTGAAGCATTGCGCTTGCACAGCTGCAGACCAGCTGCTGCAGGCCGGCGTGGCGGCTGCGACGCGCATTTGTCTGGCGGCGGCGCGCTGCAGCGGCGCAACGCGAACACCTCCTCGCCTGCGAGGTTGCAAGCCATGATAAGATAGGCGCATCGCAGCGTGAATCCGCAGCACAAGAATATCAATTATCCCATGACACACCAGGACAAGCGCATATGCGCGGCTTGCTCTCGCTGATGCCGCACAAGTTTGCCCAGTCTACGCCGGGAGACGGCGATGAGTGTGATACTTATTACGGGAGAGAAGATTTTGCGATATTAGATATGGCCGCTGCCCCGAAAATAGCATGAGGTACTGTCGTAGACGTGGTCGTAGAGCTGCTCCAGTCACGGCGGCTGCCGTCACTGCACTGGCGGTCCAGGTGGCGCAGTGGCCACCATGGGCATGGCGATTCATGTGTATGCATGCCGCATCCGTTTATGCGGACATTTTGTGGTAGGCAGGCTCATTGCACTTAGATTGATGGTAGGCTTGTCAAGTTTCCCCTGCCACATTGCCAGTACAAAATGAAGTGCTGCCCAGCCTGAGGTGTACTGTACGGTACCATAAGCGCACTAAACATGAAGCGTGCCGTTATGCGTCCGAGGAACTTCAACCTGTACAGCTCTAACAGTCGCAGTCAGCACGGCAAGGGTGTGGTCCTTGTAAAGTCCATATGGAGGTCATGAGACTGCGAGAAGTCTGCGGGCTACGCTGCAAGCTGGATATGCGGACAAAGAGGACCTCAGGTGCACGCTCCAGTCAAGAGTGTCCGAGACACCATGCACGCCTCTGCTCCAGCAGCAGCAGCGGCAGCGGCGGCGGCGGCAGGATGTGCGATACCGGGTACGGCATTGCAAGGAGATTGGGCGGCTCAACAGCCGATGACAAATTCTGTGGCGTCACTTGCCACCAAAGGTGATCCCTTATCATATAATATCACGTGCTGGCGCTGCGTCCTTGACGTGGTCAACGCCGCGAGTGATCTAACCCCATCACTTATATTCTGATGCAGTGAATCAAGCCATAAGCACTTTCCAAATTTAATGGTCTACTATCAGGAATCTTAGCGCTATGGCCGAAGCGCAGGAGGCCCTGGCCTTCATTCAGAGGGTGCCCGCCGTGGGAGGTGGATCGCTGTACGAGCATCTTACAAAGCTCGTTGTAAAGGTACGCGTGCGCCGGTGTATATGGCCAAGATCCGGCGAGAGCTCCGCGCCATCGCTTACAAGACGAGCCTGATTTATTCCGCAGGTGCTTGAGGAGAGACCAGGAGATGCAGTGGACGTGTTGGAGACGGCGCTGCTGGTGAAGAAGGCGGGCTTCGACCAGCGCGAGTCTGCGCAAGTGGCGCCGGCCCAGGTGTGCAGGCCGGTCGCACAGAACAGTACTGCGCAGGAGCAGCGCTTCGACTGCTCCAGCTGCACTGGCCGTGAGCTGTGCAAGAGCAGCTTTCAGCTGCTTTGCGAGGTATTTAAAGCAGGGTCGATTTGCGGCCTGCAGTAGTCGCGCAACCCCAAGCGACGACAGTCCAACTGCTCCGCCCCTGCTGTGTGCTGCGTGCAGTCTGCCGCAGACGCCGCCAACACCGTTGCGCTCGCGGGCCTCTATGGGTGAGGAATGTCAGCTGAATTGCAGTAGGCATGGTGGTCTGCGCTGCTTGTCCTGGCCGCTGTCACGCAAAAGCCCTTCATGCTGGCGTCGAGCTGATGCGACCATGCTGGATGCTGTCTCGCAGCACTGCCGATGCGCCCATCGACCCGGAGACGGGGGAGCCCATCAGCATGGACACGCCAAATGAGGTGCGCACGGATTCAAGATCATGATCATCATCAGCAGCAGGATCAGGATCAGGATCAGAATCAGCAGCAGCAGCAGCAGCAGCAGCAGCAGCAGCAGCAGCAGCAGCAGCAGCAGGAGCAGCAGCAGGAGCAGGAGCGGGACGGAGCAGGAGCAGCAGGAGCGGGAGCGGGAGCGGGAGCGGGAGCGGGAGCAGGAGCGGGAGCGGGAGCAGGAGCGGGAGTAGTACATTGGCAATCAATTCCGCGCCTCAAACAATGACTTACCGGTATCAGGAGGCCATACAGCGCCAGCTTGAGCCCCTTCACACGAGCCTCATTGCGCCAAGCACACCCTGCACCCTGCCCCCACCCCTGCAGTATGAGTGTGAGGATATTCAGGGGGACGCGGCGCTGTTTGATGCGCTGGGCGTCGGCCTGGGCCGCAGCGAGGCGGTCGACGTGGCGCTGGCCGCCAAGAGGCTGGGGCAGGACCCGCGCCGCGGCGTCGCCACCGTCAGGTGGGCCTGTTCGGCTGTGCGTTTCCAACTGCCGCTGTTCATGGACGGTCCAATAGGTCCTGGGTGGCGCACACTGCCAGTGCTGCACGCAGCGCCGCGTGCGACTGCCCCGTTTGGCATCTGTTTGCAGCCGGCTTGCTTGGCGCCACCACTGTTGCGCGTGGGGGTATGGTGTGGCAGGTTTGTAGCACTCCCGGGATCACAGTGTCACTCACCATGTTATTGCGGGGCCCAACCAGATTCTTTGGCAAGTTCCTGGGCACCCATGGCGACTACTTTGTGTTTGAGACCACGCTGCAGAACCCCCCCGCGGAGCCAGAGGCACAGCTGGGTGCGCGGCTGGGGCGGTCATGCGTGGCGGTCATCCTGGGAGCAGGGGGGCTGGCATGGGCGAGCCTCCAGACACGCCATTCACAGCAGACAGCGTCAACGTCCAGGATGAGCCTGCACAGCTGCCTGTGCGCCCTGATGAGCAGCCCCTGCACGTATTGGGATCTGACAGGCTTGGATGCTGTGTTCTTACTCGCCCCCGCCCCCCGCCTCCCCCCCCTGCAGCTGAGGGCGAGGTCCCCCTCGAGTGGAACAGCGGCGCCAACGGCTACGTCTACTTTGCGGCCAGCAGCCCGGGCGGGGCCCTGTCGCAGCTGCCGCACGTCACGCCGGCGCAGGTCAAGGCGGCGAGGCGCATCAAGAAGCTGCTCACGGGCCGCCTCACCAGCCAGGTACATGCACCGACAGCGCCCGCGCCCCCGACCTCTCCCTGTAGCTGTGCGTTTGGTCCACAAATTGGAACTGAAATTGTTGACCATGAGAAGCCCTGTGTCAAAATGTTGTGCTAAAGGTCCTGCTGCAGGCTATGATAGCGCCACGTAGCACTCTTGACCCCTGCACTGACGCCTTGATATCCTCCCCCCCCCCAGGTGTCGAGCTACCCCGTTTTCCCCGGGACTGAGGCCAACTATCTGCGCGCACAGGTGCGGCCCTCACACTTTGGTGATATCCAGGGTCCTGGATTTGCCACGTAGAAGGCTGTGAAGGGGGGGTGCGCATTCTGTCTTCGACCCTGACATGAAGGACCGGGTCCAAGGCCCACACACATTGGCTGGTCAAAGTCGTGATGCGGACGTGACGGCCAGTGCCTGGCTCGACACAGGTCACCTGCCGGGCGGAAATCTTGTCTCACCACACTAATATGTCTGCATTGCACACTGGACGACCTCGCCACCGCCCGCACACGCTGCGCCCCGCAGATTGCGCGCATCGCGGCGACGACGGTGCTGTGCCCTGCGGGCCTGTTTGTGGTGAACGAGGACGGCGGCCTGGACAAGGCCGAGGAGTGGACCCCCCTGCCCGACAGGGAGATGGGGGCGCCCGCAAACTGGGCGCACAGGTGCGCTGGGCGGAGGGGGGGCGGGGGTCAGGCGCCCTGTGTTGGCTTGGGAATGAGCTGGGTGGCCACCAGCCAACGACAGCGCTGTGTTTAGCCCCTCTGCCCGTCTCTCTTGTGGCGGGATTCATTGTGGTGCGCAGCAGTGCGAATGGCGGCCCGCTGTTGGTCGCGCCTCCTCGGCCCGTTACGCACGCCCCGGCGCTTGTGCATGCCGCATTGCCATTGTGCGCCCGCCTGCCTCCCAGGTACCCCCACCTGAAGGCGCAGGGGCGGAGCGCGGTGCACAAGAGGGAGCCGCCAGAGGGGGAGGAGGACACCTTTGAGTGGACAGAGGAGGAGCAGGTGCGACGCGCGGCCTGCGCAAGGGGGTTCGCGCTGACACGACCGGATATGCACTGAAACTGCATTTCAACAGATCGCAGGGCGGGTGAATACCGTTGCATGGGGCTGCATGTTTAAAGGGCCGCTGCAATCCATCACATCCACCGCAGGAGGAGGGCCCCGAGCCGCTGGCCGCGGCGGAGGGCGACGGGGAAGTGCTGGGGGGCGCCGCGTGGACGCCGCTGTTCAGCAGCGCCGCGGAGCAGGCCAAGTACCAGGTGGCAGGTGGGTGGGCGGTTGTCGGACGTTACGCGCTAGAGGGGCCGACAACCTTTGACCCGCTGATTCTGTTTTGCAGCTCGACCTGGTTTCGAAGCACGAGCTTTGCCGCAATGCGCCTCGGCTGCCTTGCGCAGCAGCGCTTTCAAGGGTGTGCGAGCGATCACATCGCGCTGTGCCGGCACCCGCCAGCACTTGTTGCCGGCAGGCAATCCCGGTGTCTGTGTGGGCGTGGTGACGGACAAGCCATGCCAGCCAATCACGATGCAAGCACGGCTGCCCTCCCTTCCTACCCCCCTTCAGGGCTGCGCAGCAACCAGTGGCCGGGCGCCTTCTGCGCGTGCCAGGGCAGCCGCTTCACCAACGTGTACGTCGGCTGGGGCGTCAAGAACGCCGCCTTTGTGCCCCTGCCCCCGCCGCCGGTGAGAGGGGGCCCAATCCACAGCCGGGCCATGCGCCATGCCAGGGCGCGTTTTCACGGCAACCGTGTCGTCGCAGCGATAGCTGGTCTGCTGTGCAGCTTCTTCCATGGCCACGGCTATTGCGGCAAAGGTGGCCACCTTTCCCTGCAAGGGGGGCCCAGCGGCACCCTGCCCTCCTGGACCGAACTCAATCGCAGCCACAGCGTCGCACTGTGCCGACGACCTCGCCTCCCCCCTGCGGCCCCCCGTCACCCTGCCAGGTGTCGAAGGAATATGACGCTGCCCTCGTGGAGAGCCGCGAGCTGCCACGCAAGCCGGCGCCGCCGGCGGAGGGCGAGGAGCCCGCGGACGAGTAGAGGGTGGGTTAACTTGTTTTGGGAGCGGGCTTCAGAGCAGCGCAGCTGCTGACCGCGTGGCGGCGTGGCAGCAGTTGACGCGCAAACAGCCACAAGAAAGGATCAGGGCCGGCTGTGCGTGCCTGCTGCTGCAGTGGTGTCAGAGCACGGTGCTGCTCTGGCGCTTGCGGCCGTGGAGGTGCCCAGTGTTGCGTGTATGAAATTGGAGTTACACCGCGCTGGAAGCAGCGCACAACACAGCCACTGCGGCAGCAGCAGGGGTTACAATCGCACTTGCTGAGTGCCTGCCAGCACTGCGCGCCCGGTTGGCTGCTGCAACAGACCGCATGCGGGGGCGAATTACGCACATCATGAACGTGCTGACAACGGCTGTTCACGTGGTCCGCAGCCGCATGCGCACTCAACTCTGCATGGCACAGGCGACAATGCCCAGCCAGCCGCTCGTGCGGCTGCAGCGGAAACGGCGCGCCTGCAGAGGGCCACGCTGGGCAGCATGGACAGTGCTGGAGTCCATTCAATGGCGTGCGCGCCAGATAGAGCTCACCCAGAAAGGCGCCCATAGGCCCCGGCGGCGCGGTCACTCATCCAGGGGCAGGTGGCCCTCGTCGATCAGCCGCAGCAGCTGCTTGCAGAACTCGTTGACGGGGAACCCCACAACAGAGTAGAAGCAGCCGTCGATGCGCCGCACAAAGGACCCCGCGAGGCCCTGGATGGCGTACGCGCCCGCCTTGCCAAACGGCTCCCCTGCGCGGCAATTTGACGGTGATGGTGATGATCCGTGTGCAGGCGGAGAGGCATTCGCTGCAGTTTCTGACACCGCATTGAGCACAACAGGGAAAGGCCGCCCGGAGATCCACACTCACGCTCCGTCCGTTGGCCGGCCGCGACTCCGACAAAAGCCGGGTCGCCCGGCCTCGCCCGCGGCGCCGGCGGAAAGTCACACCCCCCCTTCATCCCCTTTGCATCCCGGCCGCCGGCGCCCCCCCCCCCCCGCGCGCCCCCCACCGTTCTTGACGTATGCGTCAATGGTGTCGTTGTCCAGCCGCTCGAACTCGACCTGCGTGCTGCAGCTGAAGGACCGCACCAGCCAGCCCTCCTCCAGGCTGTCCTGGGAGCCGGGGGGGACGCGCGCCGCGGGGCCCAGCTGGGGCACCACCAGCACCACCCCCGTGTGCACGTGGTGGAGGGTGCCGCTCAGGCTGAGGTGGGGCGGGGGCATGAGGGGGGCAGCCATGAGATGGGCGGTGCAGTGAGGTCGAGGGGTCTGAAAAGCGGGAGCAGCGAGCGCATTGACGCACAGCCGGGGTCACTGCAAAGCAAAGGCCGCTGCTGCATTGAGGTGCTCTGGGGTGCTTCGGGCCTTCCTGCAGCGCGCCCGCACCACCCCAGCAGCCCGACAGGTGTTGAAACCCAAATCCAGCAAGTGACCCCACCGCTGTTTATTTCTTTGCCACGGAGCTGCCCCCAGCATATCCCCACCTTGGGGGGGCAAGGGGTTTCCCTTGCCCCCCCAAAAGGTTCCCTTTCCCCGCTCTGCATCCCCAATCAACACGACCCCCCCTCCCAAAACAAATGCGTCACCCCCCACTCCCTGCGCTGAAAGCCCTGCCGTGAGGAAAAGTTACCCCACCTCTGCAGCATGAGCTTTGCGTGTGCCGCGTCGTCCGGCTTCTCCAGTATCCTGCCGCCCGCCTCCACCACTGTGTCTGCGCTGATGATGAGGTCAACAGGCCTGGGGGGAGAGGGAGGAGGGGGTGAGGGGGAGGGGAGGGGGGGCCCCAGGGGGATGGGGTGGGTTGAAGGGGATGGAGGGGAGAGGAGGGGCGTGGGTTAGAGGGAGGTAGGTCGCAGCGGGTGCTTGAGATGCTGCACGGCATGCAAAAGGGGCGACAGCGCTGAGGGTGGGCCATCGCCAACAACAACGTCCTGTTGGCGGCAGCATGTGCGTGGGACCGCGGCGGAGTTCAGCGACGACTCCTGCAGCTACGGCAGCCGCGACGCTGTATGTACGTTGCCGGCCATCGTCATCGTCGCTGCAGACTTCCTTTTGCCTCCCTCGTGTGCACAGTGCCCCGCCCCACCTGTCCCCCGGCTTCTTGTTCAGCTCCAGTATGTGCATCACATCCATCGCCTTGTGGCGCGCTGGCGGCCGGGAAGGGGTGGGGCCGCGCTCAGTCAGATGGCGTGTTGCGGGTGGGGGCGTGAACGGCGGCTGGTGAGGGGGGGCCGGCAGTCAGGTGCATGGGCGGGGTCCTTGCGCCTCACATGTGCGCACTGCAGCGCCCGTCATGCGTACTCCCACTGCAAGCGCCGCTGCAGCCCCCCGGGATTCACCCAGCCCGGTGCTCCACTGAGCTGTGCGTAACAGGCACGGGGAGCGGGGGAGGGGGTGGCGGTGCTGTGGCGCACCCGTCTCGACTGCATAGTGCTCTGCCCGCGTGAAGTCGTTGTGGGGCAGCGTCTCATCGAACGTGGAGACGCACACCTGCAGGGGCGGAGCATCAGCAGGGGTAGGGGGATGACTCACAGCGGCGCGCCTGTCCTGATCGGGTGGCGGCCAAACATCCAGTGAGTCGGTTGAGGCGCCCATGTGCCCATGCAAAGCGCTACCAGGGACCGCTGCTTGCTGCAGGCCATGACACTGGCACCTGCAAGGTACGATATTGACATCTTGGTGCACTCGCCTCAAATTTGAGCCCAATGGAGCTCAGCAGCTCCCGGCGCCTGGGCGACTGAGATGCCAGCACAATGCGCGCTCTGGAGAGCCCTCCCACATGCTGGAGCAGCATCTCGGGCTCTGCGGGTGCTGCGCCGCCTCTCGACCGTCTGTTGACAACCTATAACCCAGATGAAGATGTGCAGCAGCCCTGACTGCACGTGCACGCACGTCTCGGGCAGGGAGCAGGACGGGCGTGGAGTACAGCGCCGCACGCAGTGTGTGCGCTTGCGCAACAGAGAGGAGGTTGGTCGCTGGTAGTGGGACTGGAGTATGCTCGTGTGATACTTGTGAACGCGATCGCGCGGTGTTGGAGTGCTGCTGTCGCCCTGACGTTCTATTTGTAGCACTGATCACGATTCTGGTGAGCACAATAAATCGCACTCAACACTACGAAGACGATTGTCAAGTGATAAACCGCTTTAGCACGGCTGCTTTGAAAGTGAGGGCCCTGACTGCTGCTGACCTCGACCTCCGGGTGCTGCAGGAGTGGGTGAGGCCTCTGCAGTGGGTGCGAGTTGCCTTCAGCTCGGTGCGAGTCACCATCCGTGTCTTTGCTCGACTCGTATAAAACCCTGACGTACCTCTTCTACTTTCTTGAAGACCGCGGACCGCCGCCTGATCTACACCCTGGCTCAGGAGGACTGGACGCTCGTTCACATGGCTGGCCTGCCATTCGCGGTGCCAGACATCTCTGACAATGCAGAAGGATGGGGGCCTTCGTCCGAGTCGATCCCGCCGCACCTGAAGGTGCGCAGCCTCGCTGCAGCGCTCGATCGAGGCTGCATGCAGAACGCAGATGGTGCAAAACTTGTTGCTGGGGGCGCAGGAAGCTGCGCTGCAGCGTGCCGCGAGCATGAGCGTCGTTAGCAGTGCCGCGCGCCGCAGGCGTCGCGCACCAGCCTGCTGTGCCGCACGCATGCAGCTCTTGTGGACTGCCTCGGCAGGCAACCTGCTTGCAGCAGTAGGTGCTGCGCTCCAGGCTGCGCGTCGAGCATTCGGCAGTGGTCATGTCCTGTCCATCTACCCGCTCACCGCCACGCTGTGCGGCGTTTCCGGCCCTGTGCACAACGTCTTGCGTGTGCACAGGACGTGCCCTTTGCGCCTTTCAGCAAGACGGACAAGCTGGGCAAGGCGGCTGACTGGACCAACCAGTACAACCAAAAGTACAGCGGTGGGTCCCAGCAGCCGCAGGGGTGGTTGGGGGGCACCTCGCTGGGATGGCTGCACCGGCGCAGCGGCACGGCACGCTCGGCATGCGCAGCTGTGTTGGTTGCGTGCAGGCGCCAATCATGGACCCGGCTTGACGCCCTGCAGCTCTGGAAGCAGCATGTGCAGTAGCTTGGTTGCTGACGCACCTGGACCTTGGGGTCGCCTGTCTGGGCCATGCGCAGGCCGCCAGAACCCGGTGGCGACGGTCTTCACGTTCTTCCAGAATGAGGAGGTGCGGCACCAGCAATGGCGCTTTGGTTCGAGGGCGCCAAAGCTCGCCGCTGATAGGCAGCAGTGGCGGCAGCGACGGCTATGGGTGGCGGCCGCCCTTGTCGCAGCTTGCGCACCGCAGTGCAGTGGGGGCACTCGTGGCACCTGGTGCTTTGCGCTGCGTTTTACTTGGTGGTCGGGACTGAGGCAGTATCACCAGCCCCTTGCACCTGCGTCCTCGCGCTGTGCCGCATCTACGCCTCGCGGCCCAAACACCTTGCCTGTGTTGAATGACATTGATTGGACTTGTCATCATCATGTGCTTGTTGTTATCGAGCACATGTACTCACATGTGCGGACTCACTGTTACGCACACTCGCACATACACACACACGGTTCATTCCCCCCTTTCAGGAGGACAACTTCCACATCGTGGACAACCGCCCCGTGAAGACCAGCAAGTTCCAGCAGCGGCGCGTGCAGCAGCAGCGCTTCCAGCAGCAGCGGCGCGAGCGCGAGCAGCGCGATGGGGAGCGGAAGAAGCCCACCGACAGGGGGCCGCAGGGCGGGCGCGGCGGCCGCGGCGGCTTTGGCGGCTTCAGGCATGATCAGCAGCGGGTGAGCTTCTTGAGCAGCCTGTTTTGGGGGCGTGCAGGGGGGGGGGGCGGGGCACTTGGGCATCAGACCGGCGCGGCAAGCGCGGCTGGGCAGCTGGAAACGCTGCCTGTGTCAAGCGTGCAGACACAGTCCGTGGGACACGCAGCCGTGTCTCTGCACTTGTAGGGACGATGGTGGCCCCAGTTGGATGTCTTTGACCCGCATCCCCCTCCCCTTTCTTTGCATCTCGGCGCCCCTTTCTCCCCCCAGATCCAGTATGCCCCCAGCGTGGACATCCGGCCTGAGTGGGCCGTCAAGGAGCAGATCCCCTTCAGCGCCCTGGCAAAGCTGTCCTGCAGGTGCGCGGGGCTGTGGTTGGGAATGTCAAGGGGTGTGTTGAGGCCGGCTCTGCTTGCCGGCAACCAGGGTGGAGCGTCTGGCGGGCCCGCTGGGTGGCACGGGCTGGGAGAGACGGCAGTGGTTGCACCAGGACGACCTGGGTCGCCTGGGGTGGTTCGAGGGAGGTGACGGCTGCTCGGCGCCTTGTGGATGGCGGCGTTGCAAAGGGCGGCACTTGGCAGGGCAGCGTGAGCAGCAGCGTTTGAGCGCACTGGCTGACTGGACGCGGCCGACCGGCAGCGGCTGGGCGGCAGCAGCCGGCCAGGGCGGCAGCGGCGGGTGCGGCAGCGGCCAGGCGGCAGCAGCCGGCCAGGGCGGCAGCGGCGGGTGCGGCAGCGGCCAGGCGGCATGGTGCTGGCCAGGCCAGGCCAGGCCAGCAGATTTTCCCCTGCAACCTTCCGCCCTCACCCCCCCCTTTCAACCGCCCACCCCAGTGTGGGTGACCCCACCGACCTGGGTGACTACGGGTCTGTCGAGTTCTACGACAAGGCCTACGACAAGATCACCGCGCGGCAGGAGAAGACTCTGGAGCGCACGCAGGTGAGGGCGCACGGGGGCCGCGCGCCATGGCTGTCCGCACGGCTGTGTGCACAGCTGTGAGCACGGCTAGGTGGCTGGCAGCGCGACGAAGGTGACAAAGCCCAGGCACCACTCTTGGCGACACCTCTCCGGGCTGCGGATCGCCAGCAGCGCTGGCGGGGTGGCCGCCGCCTCCCCTAAACGGATCCCAGCACATACCTCTGCCTGCCACGTGCTGGTCTGACTCATCCGCCTTTTGCCCCCCCGGGTGACTCTCTCGCCCCCACCCCCCCCCCCTCTCAGCGCGGCTTCCGCAACGTGACGACCAGCGACGACCCCGTGGTGCGCAAGCTGGCGGCGGAGGGCGCGGGCCGCGTGTTTGCCACTGACAGCATCCTGGCCACACTCATGACCGCCAAGAGCAGCGTGTACAGGTGCGCACCACGCCACGCCTGCCCATGTGCGGCGCGGGACACTGGCGAGCGGCATGCCGTGCTGCGAGCCGCGGCAGCGCAGCGGCAGTGGCGGCGGCGGCTTCGCGCCTGGCCCGGGATTGCAGCGGTATTGGACGTGGTGGCGGCGGTGCGGGTGCGGCCGCCCTGCAGGCCCGTCGCGCCCCAGACATCGAGCGGTCGCCATGCCTGGCGCGTGTTTCTTCTTCTCCGCCCCTCTTCACCGACACCACCCCGACCCCTGTGCCTCCACCCCCAAACAAACCCTCCTCTCCTGCAGCTGGGATGTCGTCATCACGCGTGTGGGTGACAAGCTGTTCATCGACAAGCGTGACGGGGGGCCCCTCGACATGCTCACGGTTAACGAGACAGCCCCAGAGCAGGTGCGGCGCCATACACCACCTGCAGCCTCCCAGGGCCAAGGGCCGGGCCTACCCCCAACGCAGGGCGCGGCCGCTTGGGTGTGCAGAGCGTGCGCTGCGCCGTCTGCCACAGCATCTGCGCCGGCTCTATGGTTGCTTTGATCTCTCCATTGCCCTTGCCTGCACCCCCCCCCCCACGCACGCACGTATGCCAACACACACAGTTTGCTTGATCGCACTCTGCCTTTTCACCATCATTTTTGGCTGAATCCTGCCTGTTTGGCTTGCCTCGCACGACTTCCTGCCCCCCCCCACACACACATGAAACAACAGATCCCCGAGGACCGCGACAACATCAACGGGGTGCAGCAGCTGGCCCTCGAGGCCACGGCGGTCAACCAGTCACTCTCACAGCAGCTACTGCTCAAGGTGGGGCGGGGGGGCGGGCAGCGCTGGGCACGCGCTTGCGCGTGGCGTGCGTTGCGGTGGGGGCTGGTCGTGGTAGAGGCTCCCTGCGGTGGCGTCTCGCGACAGGCCACCCTGCTGGGGTCAGCTGCCATGCGTTGTGGCGCTGCCAACTCCACGCACCTCACGGGCCCACGACCTGCCAGGTCATCACACACGCACACCCCCGCGCTCACTGATGGCACCACGCACCTCCGCCC